GAAGTAAAACGTTTTGCTGTTTTGTATGACACCCTCTTTGAATGAAATTTCGATGTTTAAGCGCAAACATTAAAATTACTAACTCTGAACTTTGTCAATATCTGCAAAATGTTCCACTCAAATCTTTCCGCTATCGCGTTTGTAATTTTCTCTGATAAAAAAAAAACGTCTATGATGTCCAGAATTGCTCTTTACAGCTTGCCTGCCATTCCAGCTTTCCAAGTGAGCAAAACTTCTTAGATATAAAGATTATTTTCTTTCGTTACAGGCGCAAAAAGGCAGGTACCACACGAAAAAAAGACGCCGAGCAGCAAAAGCGAACGGAAAACGGTCGCGAAAGGCGACGAGAAATATGTGCATTGGAGCGTATCATGAAATACAATCTTTCGCCTGTAGTCTTATGGAGTGACGTCAGAGTTGCCTATCATGTTGTTTAATGTCATTGCTCGAGCCAAACTAAATGAGCATCATCAGGTGATCGGTAAGGCTGCAAGTTGAATTCAGCCCTGCAGCCTCCTGCATAGAAGATAATATTAATTAGTTGGCGATGAGCTAAATTCCTAAATTTAGACACAAACCTATCTACGAGGCATTATGTACTACGATAAACTGAATATGTAACATGTCTGATAAATTCACCTACTAAAGCAAGTTCGATAGGTGCAAACTTTGTGTTATGGAATTGTATCACAGCACCGTTAAGAGAAGTAAAACAGTTTTGCTGTTTTGTATGACACCCTCTTTAAATGAAATTTCAATGTTTAAGTGCAAACATTAAAATTACTAATTTTAAACTTCGTCATTATCTGCAAAATGTTCCACACAAATCTTTACGCTATCGTGTTTGTAACCTTCTCTGATAACAAAAAACGTCTATGATGTCCAGAATTACTCTTTACAGCTTGTCTGCCATTCCAGCTTTCCAAGTTAGCAAAACTTCATAGATATAAGGATTATTTTCTTTTGTTAAAGGCGCAAAAAGGCAGGTACTACACGTAAAGAAGACGCCGAGTGGCAAAAGCGAACGGAAAACGGTCGCGAAAGGCGATGAGAACTATGTGCATTGGAGCGTATCATGAAATACAATCTTTCGCCTCTAGTCTTATGAAGTGACGTCAGAGTTGCCTATCATGTTGTTTAATGTCATTGGTCCTCTCACTTTGGTTTTCATTACTTTCTGGAAGTGACGTCAGTGGACCTCGTGCTAATAGTTATCGCAGTTTTTGGCTGGCCGATTTGGCATTGGCCTGGGAATCATCGCTGCTGCACTGCAGCATTAGGTGTTTTATAGTTCTGTCTGTCTGTAGTTGGATCTAACGTTATATAGTTTTAATTTAAGGTATAGCCTAGCTGTAAAATTTGGAGTTTAGTTGATAACTACCGGTAAGAATTCTAAGTTTATGGCGTCCTGTAACGGTACGTACCGGTACCGTACCGTTCCGCAGTACCGGTACCAGGTACCGGTACCGTACAGCTGTACAGTGCTGCAGTGAGAAACGAAGCGATTTGCCAGTTTGTAGCGTACCGGTACCGTACGGTACCGTACCGGTATCTATAATCCAGTAATGGGCCTAGTTAGAATGCGCCACAAGTTTATTTCGACTCCATAATCAGCATAACAATACATTTGACAGATAAAAACAAATAAATAAAAACTGATTATGAAATCAGGGGAGCAAACAAAACTTTAGATAAGGTTTATAACGTACAAAATATAAGATGGAAGGTTTTGCCAAGAGGAAGTGGTACCGGTACGTGTTTACTCACCTCAGTGCCAAATTTGGCACGCGTGCCCCGTGTTGTGCACCCCTGCTCTATAGACACTTTGGTTTTCATTACTTTCTGGAAGTGAATGTTGGGATAAAATTTTCGTTGGTTTGTTGGTGAATGAAGCGGTTTAAACTTTAGCCCACCTCCTGACATGCTCGACCTCTTCATGCACCCAACTTTGGTTGGGCAATTCGGCATTTGACTCCCAATTACAGAATTATAATCAGCTTGGCGAAATCCCCTTTTTTGTCCTCATACTGTCATATTAAATAGTCTACCGGTACCGGTACTATCTGACTGGAAATTATTTAAATGGCTGAATGGTGTGTCAAACAATTCCTATTTTTTCTTTTATTCTAATTTTCTTTTTATGTATTTCTTTATTTTTTGTTTACCACATAGGCTAATTTATCTGAAGCTCCCTATTTTCATCTTTATTCATTTATTATAGCCCTGTGGTTGTGTGTGTATTATTTGATTCAATAATTTCAGGTGAGTGAACACGTACCGGTACCACTTAGGATAGGATAGGATTTACATATTTATTCCGGGGGAGAGGAAAGCCGATAAGACGGCTAATCCATATGGCGAACCACGGCCTCTCGTCCGGTTACCATTCCAAGTCGGGTATGGGATTAGTTATATTTTTCGTTTTCGGAAGCATGGACTTGGTGGTGGAGGAAGCCATAACCGACCAGCGGTTACGTGAACCACCCAACGACGGCGAGGAGTCTAGCAATCCTCTCGCACATAACCATCTCTGCCTGGGATTCGAACCTGCGAACCCACGCAGAGTAATTAGAGGTGCGGTGGCGAGCGTATTCCTAACGCTTAGCCCGTTAACTTCTTTTCGACAATACCTTCCATCTTATATTCTGTACCGGTACGTTTTAAACCTTACTCAAGGTTCTGTTTACTCTCCTAATTTTCATAATCAGTTCTTAGTTATTTGTTTTTGTCAATCATTTCATCACCTTTTACAGTACAGTACACTATCTTGATTCCAGATTTGTGGCTGTATAAACACATACACATGCACAGTGGTTCCCAAACTAAAAAAAATTCCATGACCTGATATGTGACCCCATGATTCCCGGCCTTCTGCGCCAAAACAAGTCATTAAAAGAACACAACAAAAAATAAATATAGAGCAAGAAAAGGTAGTTAGTTTTACGTAACCCCAATTGTTAGTTACAAAAAATCAATGCGCTGTATAGTGAAAAACATTAAAACGGACAAAAGTATATGACGAAGTTTAATGAGATAGGTGCACTTGTTTCGTTGTAAAACAGCAATTAGAAGCAAACTGGCATAACTTCATAAACTGCCCAGTGTATACTGTAACTTCCTCCTATACCAACAAATGTGGAAAAAGGCAGCGTTAGCTACTCCTCTTGAACTCTGCCGTTAGACTTTTATTGGCAGCAATTGAACAGCTCTGTGATTTTCCATTTTTTGATGACGTTAAGTAAGACACACGACATGCTCATCAATGTGATCCTGGTAGGCTATTTACCCGCATGGATTCAAAATACAAAAATACTGGAACACCACCTTTATGTAAACAGAAATTGTCCGGTCTTACTACTTACTGAATACAGCGCGAAACACCACAAGGAGCGCAAAACAGAGGGAAACAGCGCAAAACAGTGGGGAAACAGCGCGAAAGAGCGCAAAACAGAGGGAAACAGTGTGAAGCAGAAAAAAATTTTGCAATGAGTTCGGGGCACTTTGTTTTGAGTTGGAGTACCACGGCAGCAAATTAAAAACACAAACCAACGTATGTAGCCAGTAATGCTGTAATGGCAGGTCTGCCCCTTCTGGTGACACATTTTGGGTACCATAATTTAGAACATTTTCCATATGGATATGATTGGCTTTAGGGTTAGGTAAAAAGGGACCTCCAGAAGTATGTGAACCAAGATGGCGCACAACCTGAAAATAGTATGTGTGTTGCGGATTCAGGTTGTGCGACATATTGCTGCACATACTTCTGGAGCACCAAAAAAGTAGATAAAATTTCGCATGATGACCTATAATCCGGTACATAACCTTGTATATATGCCGGAAATAGCGCCATAAAACCATGGCGAGAGGCGCCGTGGTTCTTTCGTGGCAGGAGGTGGTAATGACTGCGTCTCCTGTTTTGCGCTGGTTTCCTTCTGTTTTGCGGTGTTTCGCGCTGTATTCAGTAAGTAGTAAGACCCGAAATTGTCCAGTTCGCGCGGTTGTGGGGTGCCAAAATTTACTTCACGTCGCAGCGTGACATCATATCAACAGTGAGCGAAAAATGGTCTGAAAAAAAAAAACAATGTTGCAACTTGCAGGTCTTATAAGCTTCCTGATTCGGTTGTAAAAAAATAGGTACCGTACAACAGAAACATATGAAAGTCTCTCTAAAGTATAATATGTAGCATTAGCTTCAACTGATGATACAGTGATAGCTTTTTCGACATCTAATATGATGTATATCTAAATTGTTGTACTTATATGCTCTTGTTTTGTCAATTCTCATTAAATGAATAACTATATTTTTGGATATATTTTTTGCATATTTTATTTTCAATCTAAGTGAATTTAGATGTTCTTTTAGGTGAAACTAGATTTTTTGTGGCAGCCCTGCTGGGAATGTTATTTTGGTTTTACAGGTAATATCTGAATGCTGTAGTGTAGACTAATTACAGAATGAGTGTATGTATGGTAATAGGGTTAATTATTACATGTAGGACATTTGCACTAATGGCAGTACGGCACACTATCCAAATTCCAAGAATGTCCCGTCATTTGATTCAATAAAACTAACACTCCATGTGTCTCTCAAACTAGGGGCGTCTGGCATGACAGCAGATGAATCATACTGCACCGTGCTTGTCTCGATAATAATCTACATTAATTGTGGCTTTCACTTGACCAAAATTGCTGTTTTTTGTTAAAAACTGAAATGCCATCGTATAAAATTTTTTCCTTTGGTAAATAGAATTATTTTTTCCTGAGGAATTCAATGATGACGTTTTTAAATTGCGCTTTTTTGTAGTTTTTTGCGCACCTTCATTTTACTGTATTTTTACGGATATTGATAGACAACAATGTCCAAACGTCCCCCAAAGGAGGGGAGTTTGTTCATCGGCAAAATAGGAAACAAGTCAATGTCTCTGTCGATCTGTAAAGTGTGCCTTACTGAATGGTAAGCAGCGTATTACTACAGTACTAATAATATTACTAATATTTACAGTGGTCAATATAATAATTCTCATTAGACTATAGTTCAATCAAGGTATTTTGATTCAAAGTCAAGTTACTGCTTAATAAGGACACAATGTCAGGTTAGTTTATTATGTACAATTTCATATTCCAAGTTATGCAGCATTCTGTATCTGTTTTCCTACCAAGTATGTATGTATGTTTATTCGTCTCGTAAAAGCAATATAAAAGAGTAAGTACTTATAAATACTGAAGACGGGATGTATGCACAAGACCATATTGGCCTAAAACACAGATGTGCGGCATACACCCCTTTGATTTATATAAATTATAATAGGGTAAATCAAATATGTACAATATGGTCCTTTATACAGGCAGTTGTGCGAGGAGGGTGGGTGGATGCGATAACAGGGATATGGGTGGAGTGTACAAAACTGTTTGTACAAAGGAGTTTGTTAGACAAAACAACATCTATAAATAGAGACACAACACAACATGAAACACAATGCATATGAATATAGTAATAAAAAAAATTTTTAAAAAAAAAAATTAAGAATTTAGATGAATGTACAATACCATTGAGTGATGATACCACATACTATAAAACGCGGGAATGGTCAAGTTTAAAGGGTGTGTACATATATGGTATGCACCACTCAAGGGCGACGGTGTTTCAAGTACCAGCAGAGTACCAGCAGAGGTCATTTGTTTGATCATTCTTTATAACCGTTAGTGATTGGTAACCACTAACCATTGACCATTAAAATCCAATGCTCAGGGTATTTTCAATTAAATACAAATAGGGATGGGCAATGTAGAATAATTTACTTTTCTAGAATAGTTAAATCGAATCTTGTTCTATTTTTATACTTATTTAAATAGTGGGAATTTCCCACAATGCTGATTTAGAGATTCAAATAGAAAAATTGTAAATGTATTGCTCATTTGGAAATGTCCTGACAATTGGATTTTATTTGATGCCAAACAAGCGATTTCCAGGACAATGAAATATAAGAATAGTACAATATTTTTTGCCTCCAATTATTCAAAATGTATTAAATAATTATATGCTAAATTAAGGCTCACTTTATAAAAGATACCATTTAATAGTAAATGCTTAGTTACAAAAATAGATCGGCATCAAATTATTATCAATGTTAGATTGCCTAGTGTACTGAAACATACACGCTGAGAAATTAGATGCAGGACCAGCGTGTGGCAACTGCAAACTATGCGGGTGGTGTAAAATATTGAATTAAACCACTATCAATTAAAATTAAATATGGGTCCACGTTTTTTAGTTTCTGTGCGAGCAAGACTTGTAAAACAAAGTCCCAGTAATCGTGATTTCGTACTTAGTTATAGGTAATAGCATCTAAAGACAAGATCATTTCTTATTACTATCACTATATATATACCCACACTTGGCCCTGCTCAAACTCAATTCATTTTGCAATTAATGCACAAATAATTATTATACGCCAGCAATATAGTAAAGCAGGAAAACGCAAAAATGGTGCAATAACCAGTCTTCGCTGTAAAGTGTTTATCGCCGTCTTCCGTGCTTACTGTGTTTGATGTTTACCGATTTTACAAGTATAATTAAACGGGAGAGATTTCCACGTGAGAGAAAACGCTCGTCTTTGATTTATAAATTAGAAACATGAAATATAAAACTTAACGCATAGCGCTGAAAAGGCGGAAACTGAATCCTGTTATCAGATTCTGTTGGATTCGAATACTTTGGGATTCAGTATTCTATATTGCCCATCCCTAAATACAAAGGTAGTAGTATATACACAGTTTTGCTTTTTTAATTGTAATCCATCAATATGGTTGGGAAAATTCCCACATTTGAATGACAATAAAAAATAGGATAGGATTCATTATTATTTAACATTGCCCATCCATATTGGCATTTTAGTAGAGTAGTAGGCTAATGGTTTTATTTTTTCGTAATTTGGTGCAACCGTGGGTTACGTTGAACAGGATTAAATTAATACGGCAAGGCATTTTAAATTGATATTTTTATTAACTATTATTATTAAAATTATTTGCCATAAATCGAAAAAGAGTATAAATTGTTACTTCCTAATAATTCTGAATTGCGACAATTCATTGGGATATTCGAACCAATGTGGAGATTAAGTGAAGCAAAGTATCCCATGGGAAAATGCCCTGGTACCTACAATGTGTACTAGTAGTATTTGGAAATAAACCATCATATATATCTCTTTTTATTACAGTATTAACATATATAATTGAAAAAAAGCATGGGTTGGCTCATATTCATCAGTGAAAATGTGCAAAATGCAGATGAAAGATGTAAATATTTCGGAAGTTTTCACAATGAAGGAAACCTTGAATCAACCTCCATCTTCAGATCTACATCCAGGGAAGTGTGAATTTTTTTCAGCGACTAGAAGTCATTGGTGGAATTCTACATAGGGAGTTTTTATCATTTGCGCCTGTAGGAAAATCTATTTTTCATATTATTATCGATCTTAAGATCGGTAAGTATATTGATAGGTATTTGTGTGTATGTATGTCTGTCTGTCTGTCTGTGTGTGTGTCTGTTAGATGCACGCGATATCTCACGAAAGCGAGATTGAATCTGCTCCAGATTTTGCATGTGCATTCATCTTATCTCGGACCAGAAGCCTATTGATTTTGGGCGAATTATGTCGTATAATTAGCGAGTTATCAATCAATTATTGATATAGTGATCTAGATTTTTGTAAAGTGAGAGAATTTTGAAACCCGCCGAGTGTGTGTGTGCGATGCGCAGTGCGCAAGTTACAAGAGCGGATGAATCGAAACTGCAGTTTCTGTTTTGGGGGATCCCCTAACTATCGATCGATAAGTCTTCGGTTTCCAACCGATATTCTCGTTTTACCATTAGTGTTGCATCGTAAAATGTACAGTCATCTCCATGAGTTGCATACTGGTGGACATCTGGGGAAAGAATGTAGGCTACATATAAATGTTAAGGAAAACATTATATTGGTCTAGAATGTAGTCAAGTGTCATCTTGGTGTCGTTTTTGTAAAGCTTGCACTGCCACTAAATCCATGTTTGGTAAACATGTATGGCAATGTGTAAAATGGTGGTAACGAACATCTTTTACTGAGTGGGATGAAGCATACCCTTTCCCTGATCAAAAGTATAAGCTAGTACATATGCTGATGCTGTGTGACAGAATTTTTATTAATATTGGGCATTCCTAAAATTATTCACCATGGCCAATAGGGTATATTTAATTAAAAATGAATGTTTGAAATTTTTATATATATTGAAAGTGCTATCCTCTTTTAAATGATTATTAGCGATGGTAACTAATTAGATTAAAATTTAGATTTTGGAGTTTGCGGCCGCAAACTTAAATATATATATATATGAGAGTTGTGAATTACGTTAGAATTTTCGCGTTGCGGAATCAAACGCTTGGGTTGCACGAAGCTATTGCGAATATCTGAACACAAATTGCCAGTAGTAATGATAATGTACAGTACACTTTTTATTTTACTGTGGCGATGAGGATGATCAAAGCCTACACAAAAGATAATAATAAGTTTGGGTTGCAAATATATTCCTATAATTTTTCTCGACCAATGATCACACCATAGCTTTTGATTTTGTTGAGCAAAATTCGCGGCCCTTTGAGAAATAAAAAAAAACATCGATGTCGACCAATGTGCAAGAATTTGTATATGTGATAAGGAGACCGATATTGGTATGTAGATGGCCGGAAAAAAAACAAACCAAAATCGCAAAACACACCTCGACCTATATAAAATTAACGGCTCATGGTAAGCGGAGGTTGAATACAACAGGCTGAATTAGACAAATCGTCTTATGTCAGTGCTCGCTAGAGCCGAAGTAAATTGAAAGCAATGTCTCGAAATTTTCTGCTGGTTGGATGACTCTGACGTAAAGTAAACAAACTTATTGCAAATCAATTAAAAAAGTAGACTGCTGATAAGTAGGCTGGGCAAAATATTCGAATAGCAAATGGAATATTAAAACAGTCGAATTCTATTTTGTTATTCAAATATCGGGTGCTTGGACACGAAAGTCGCGCGTTTCTGAATCGATTGCTAATCGACTCCCTAACCCTAACTTGGTTCACATACTATGTTCCGGTGTCCGCCATCTTGGTTGACACACTACCCTTTTTGCGCCTAACGTATCTCTTCAATTTTACAAAAAAAACAAGCTGGCACCATTCCGTAAATTTAAGCGCCAAACCAGATAAGTTACCGGTATTTAAAATATTTTTTTAAACTCTGATGTCTGGTGACATGTTACAGGCCATTTCATGAATGATCCAAATAGAAAATTGATTATCTGAAATTAAAGATTGAAAATTATGTTTTCACCATACATGGTGAAAAAGCCATATTTAGGTCATCCTAACTTCAGGTTTTATAACTAATATCGATTTGAAATGACCAAAGTTTTGTCAAATCTGGTACGACTTGTATAAAGAACACTTATAAGATGTATCTATATAAGAAATTTCAGGTCATACTTTCTATTATTTCTTCAGTGATCCCATACTTCCTTGACCAAGTAAGGTTTCGAAAATATGAACATTTCACTCGACCATGCATGGCTGGTGGAGTGTTAAATTTGTAAACAAGAGCAGGACGTAAAATCAATCTTGAATTTAGTTGTAACAACACACAGGCTCGAATTGTTACGCCTGCTATCATCAGAAATGAATTTATTTGTTGTATTTTGAAGCATTTTGCAGTAATCATTAGAGCGTGGCTTCATCAAAACAGTCAAGTGAAGTGTCGAATTTGCAAATTCCGTAAATAAAATTGGGAATTAGTCGGTGACGATTTCAGCTGTAGCTGTAATAATCTTCGTAGGAAACTTAGGGAATTAGTCACTATTAGCACCCGGGCCCCCATTAGGCACAAAAAAAAATGAGAGCAAAATTGTTTACAATTTTTTGGCTTTAGTTTAGGTTACATATGTAAAATATCATTCAAGGAGTGCTGTTTATTACATCATCTCACCTTATGAACACATTGGAAGGTTTATCCATCTAATGAGAAGTAACACGAACACCATAGAATTGCATAAGAATGTCAATTATCGTCTTAAAAAATATCTGCATTCCGGTGTCGATAATAATATTACTATTCGCTTTGACGGTTAATTTACAAATGATTGAGGCCAACGCAAAATCTAAAAATGGAAATAAAATTAGTTTGGGTTTTGAAATCGGTCTTTAATGTCTTTGACGCCTGTTGCCGATGTGAACGTACCAGTATACCAGAAATATAAAACTTTGATGTTAGCCACAAGAATTGGTATTTGTAAAAAAAGAAAAATGTCGGAAATATAGCGAAACGATCGCGGTGACAGAAACAATCAGCGATTATGATGAATTTGATAAACCGCTTGGTTGCTGACTTTTCTTTTCTTTCTTTCAATTTTCGAAGATGGAATCAACCTCCGATGTGTATAAAATAAATATTCGTTTAAAATATTCGAAATATCCTATTCAGAAAAACTATTCGATTTTGCCCACCCCTACTGATAAGTCCATGGTGTTTTTCGGAATTGGGAATTCCCATGTAACGGCATCTTGAACAGTCGATGCGATTACGCCACTAGTTGAAATAGCCCACTTTTTCACAAGCCACAGAGCCACAGCCAAAATCAGGGGCGGAGGGAATTCCCATGTAACACCATCTTGAACAGTCAATGCGATTACTCCACTAGTTGAAATAGCCCACTATTTCAGAAGCTTTTGAGCCACAGCCAAAATTTGGGGCAGAGGCCTATGCGAGCCATAGCCAAGACTAGGGGGCAGAGGCCTATGCGAGCCATAGCCAAGACTAGGGGCAGAGGCCAATGCGAGCCATAGCCAAGACTAGGGGCAGAGGCCAATGCGAGCCATAGCCAAGACTAGGGGCAGAGGCCAATGCGAGCCATAGCCAAGACTAGGGGCAGAGGCCAATGCGAGCCATAGCCAAGACTAGGGGCAGAGGCCAATGCGAGCCATAGCCAAGACTAGGGGGCAGAGGCCAATGCGAGCCATAGCCAAGACTAGGGGGCAGAGGCCAATGGGAGCCATAGCCAAGACTAGGGGGCAGAGGCCAATGCGAGCCATAGCCAAGACTAGGGGGCAGAGGCCAATGCGAGCCATAGCCAAGACTAGGGGCAGAGGCCAATGCGAGCCATAGCCAAGACTAGGGGCAGAGGCCAATGCGAGCCATAGCCAAGACTAGGGGCAGAGGCCAATGCGAGCCATAGCCAAGACTAGGGGCAGAGGCCAATGCGAGCCATAGCCAAGACTAGGGGCAGAGGCCAATGCGAGCCATAGCCAAGACTAGGGGCAGAGGCCAATGCGAGCCATAGCCAAGACTAGGGGGCAGAGGCCAATGCGAGCCATAGCCAAGACTAGGGGGGCATGGGCCAAGGGAGGCCAATGCGAGCCATAGCCAAGACTAGGGGGCAGAGGCCAATGCGAGCCATAGCCAAGACTAGGGGGCAGAGGCCAATGCGAGCCATAGCCAAGACTAGGGGGCAGAGGCCAATGCGAGCCATAGCCAAGACTAGGGGGCAGAGGCCAATGCGAGCCATAGCCAAGACTAGGGGGCAGAGGCCAATGCGAGCCATAGCCAAGACTAGGGGCAGAGGCCATTGCGAGCCATAGCCAAGACTAGGGGCAGAGGCCATTGCGAGCCATAGCCAAGACTAGGGGCAGAGGCCAATGCGAGCCATAGCCAAGACTAGGGGCAGAGGCCAATGCGAGCCATAGCCAAGACTAGGGGCAGAGGCCAATGCGAGCCATAGCCAAGACTAGGGGCAGAGGCCAATGCGAGCCATAGCCAAGACTAGGGGCAGAGGCCAATGCGAGCCATAGCCAAGACTAGGGGCAGAGGCCAATGCGAGCCATAGCCAAGACTAGGGGGCAGAGGCCAATGCGAGCCATAGCCAAGACTAGGGGGCAGAGGCCAATGCGAGCCATAGCCAAGACTAGGGGGCAGAGGCCATTGCGAGCCATAGCCAAGACTAGGGGCAGAGGCCATTGCGAGCCATAGCCAAGACTAGGGGCAGAGGCCAATGCGAGCCATAGCCAAGACTAGGGGCAGAGGCCAATGCGAGCCATAGCCAAGACTAGGGGCAGAGGCCAATGCGAGCCATAGCCAAGACTAGGGGCAGAGGCCAATGCGAGCCATAGCCAAGACTAGGGGCAGAGGCCAATGCGAGCCATAGCCAAGACTAGGGGCAGAGGCCAATGCGAGCCATAGCCAAGACTAGGGGCAGAGGCCATTGCGAGCCATAGCCAAGACTAGGGGCAGAGGCCAATGCGAGCCATAGCCAAGACTAGAGGCAGAGGCCAATGCGAGCCATAGCCAAGACTAGGGGCAGAGGCCAATGCGTGCCATAGCCAAGACTAGGGGCAGAGGCCAATGCGTGCCATAGCCAAGACTAGGGGCAGAGGCCAATGCGAGCCATAGCCAAGAGACTGTGGTTCGTTATATGATTAAGCCGTCTTATCGTGGGCTTTTCTCTCCCTGGGATAAATATGTATATCCTATCCAGTTGCCATAAGTCACTGCGTTTTTTACATTTTTATGAAAGTTATGGCTACTGGTCCAGTAGGGTTTAATAAGATACATTGATATGGTATGTAGTCAAAGAGTACTTGCATGAATAATCAGCATTTCAGTAATTCAGTTACACATCATTTTTTTGCCCACTTTTTTGCAAACCTATGTAAGATAATAGGTTGTAATAATAATATGTAGGCGGTTTAATACATGTTCCGACTCCCAAATCAAAGTTGGTAGAACCTTTACTAGAGCATTGCATCAAAGAGAGCATCAAACTTTTGAATACGAGCCTTCTAAATATTGTTTAAAACGCCTAAACAACATCTCTTTTTTGCGGTAATTTCTGACTTTTTATTTCCAACAATCCAAAAGTCTTGAATCGGACTTAGGGAAATTTGAAATGAAAACCCACTAAATTCAGACTCTGACTTCACAGCCCTGCTTGAAATGCCGTCCGAACATCAAACTATGTAGAATTCTGATAGGTTCTGAAGTGCAATTGTCAAGTTAAGCCAGAAATTTATGTTATTAATTGCATCAATACTACATTAACTTGTAAATTCAACATGTTTAGCTGAAACGTTAAAGTTTAATGGTTTTTTTGGCTTCTCTCATTTTGCCTTTCAATGAACAGAGAGTTCTCTTCTATATTTCTCTCTCTCTTCTATCTCTTCGTGCGGCGCAAAATCCTCGCCTTCGAATATCTTGCGTCCCCACTAGGCTTGCACGTAATCGACAAAAATCAATTCCGTAATTACGGAAAAATTGATTACGTAATTGCGATATTTTTTCACACGTTTGAACCTATCATAAAAACCATTTGAATCCACTTCTTTTCCGAATGGGACATCGAAGTTTGGTTTTCATATTACCGACAGTACTACACGCCGGCGACAGATGTTAAAGACAAATATCAAGGAGTGAATTCAAATCAAATTTATTCTGATTTTTATCTTGTTTTATTGTGTTGGCTTTGATTTTCTTTATCACCTTCGCAAATTAACCGTCCCAATTTTATGCGATCAATTTTATCATTACCGACACTGGTATACGGATATTTATGAAACGATAGTTGCCTTTTTTAAAATCGACTTTCGTATTGAATAAAAATTTCGGGTTTCCAAGTTATTAATCAACGACAAGCGTATTCTCTCGTTTAATTATACCTGTGCTTGCCTCGCGACGAAGACTTGTTATTGCTCCGTTTTTTACATTATCCGACTTTGCTACCTAGTTAGCATTTTATAATAATTATTGATGCTGAATTATTGACGATATTCCGATTACCAAGCTTCATTTTATATCAAATCATTTCGCGGCCTAAATGTTATAACATTATTTGCGATAAATTTAGATCAAATATTAATTATTTAGCTGGCGATAAATTCTTACCTGTAACTCGTTGTAAATTAATGCTAATAAATTCTATTTTGTTTTTTAATGCGCTGTGATTTGTATTAATTGAAGTGATTGAGTCGGGAAAAGAAAGTAGCCTAGCCTTCTCTCCTTTTGAGCGCTTATAGCGGCGGTAAAATTCGTTTCATGTCTGTTTCACGGAGAGAAAGAAAAATACGCCTTCCGGAATTACAATCAACTATCACACATTCCTATTTATCATTATCAGCGCCGAATAAAAAAGATACCAAATCGTGAAGACAAGACAAAAAAGTCTCTCGGTGTTAATTGTATTACAGTGATAACGCTTATAATAATATCGTTTTGACCGTGAAACCAAACGCTCAAACGGGGTGGCAACGCGTCATGCCGGCTCAAAACGGCTGTGAATACCGGAACTCTTAAGTTCTTCTACTTGTTCAACTTTAATTTTTTACAATCGACGGAATTGACTGCTTGGAAGGAGCACGTTTCAAACGCGAAAGCGCTCGACCGATAATTACGACTTTACGTAATTTGTAACTTCCCTTCCGTAACTCGAAATAATTCCGTAAATCCGTAAATTATGTGCAAGCCTACTCCCACCTACTACTGTACGGATCAAAATGGACTTCTATAAGCTTTTTACTGACCGCCCTTTTTCCTTTTGTGCATTAATGTGTGTTCTTATTATTTGCTGTGAAACTTTTATTAATGATGCAAGCACTGTGTAGGACTGCTTTATTTTTCAACATAAATTTTTGATTGACTGAAACTGAATGTTTCTTTCTATTTGTATTTACTGCGGGTTCAGGTAGTAGATATTGGTATGTCGATATCGGTTATCGGTCACTAGTTGGCCGATATATCGGTATCGGTGCCAAAAAGTGATATCGGTCGAGCTCTGGTTGCTATTCTTTTGCGGATCGCATATATTTTTTTAAAGTTAAAAACGGAACATCGTGCAAAAACTGACAATTCGTTAACTCAACTCAGTCGTCTTATGAAAAAATTATTACAATGACATTTCATGTGACACTGTCTTGCTACATCACGCTTGATAGCTTAGCGACGCCAAGATTGGAAGATTTGCTAAATGGGCATCACTAATCCTATATAGTTCTTTACTTGTTCTTTGTAAAGTTCATTTTCAAAAATAAATGTTTGCACAAATATGTACTTCCAAACATTGAAGTGAATATTTTCGCATGGTTTGTGAAATTTTGATAAAGATTTTCTTTAAGAAGATACATTCTTACAAAAATTAGGCAGTGATGAATCTCTCGAATAGAATATGAATTTGATTTTCTTTATTGCATTGCAATATATTCGAATGTTTACTGCGCTATTGAACCCCTGCACTCAGCATCAATTTTTCTGCGTGTTTCCATTTGTCTAATTATAATTAAATTGTAGGCATGTTAAACAAGTAGCTGTTCAATATAATTTTCATGATATAATAAAATTTTGTCTAAATGTGTCTCACGTTAAAATTTGGTTACGTAAAAAAAAATGTAATTTACTCACGTAAAAAAAATGTAATTTACTCCACGAGCTTAGATAATAAATAAAATTATTTCATCGTTAAAACCGCCGTTTGGATGTTTCCACTGGCAAAGAATTCCTTGTTTACTTCGTGACATTGGCCAATCAGCAAGATGCAAAAATGAACGTAACAATGCCCCCTTTCGCATCCGCTCAGACACATTCCTCACTCAGACAGACCTTCAGGTGTGGTCGTGAACATTACCTCATTTTCGCGATTTTGAATTTATATTCGTTAGTTTTTAGTTGTTTTTTGGAAATTTAAATAAAATAAGTCGATGATCGTCTTGTCCTCTTAGGAGTTTCAGTTTAATTACAGTAATCAAAAATTAGTGTAGAAATGGCTGTGATAGATTAGGCTAAAATTCTTTACTGGTACGGTACTTTTAAAAAACAGATTGTTGAATGGTATGAATTAGAATGATAGTTTGAAACAAATACTTCATTTTATGGGCAACAACTCGCAAAACCACTCCCAAAATGAACACCGAAAATTTTAAAATGGTAAAGTATGGGAAAAATTCCCCGGGGTCAAAGGTCGGGAAAAGATTCATTCAGTGAAGCATCCCGGGCCAGATTACTACAGATTTCCCGACCACTGGGATACAACTACCGTACCTTACTGCGAGGACGAGTTCAGCAATCTTTTCGCGTGTGACATCGCCAACGTGATTCAAACCTACGAAAGCACGCAGAGTATACAGCAATCAAGTGCACGAGGCGACGACCAAAAACAGGTTTCGCGAAATTCGCCCCCCTCTGTATCGTTTTTGCCCATTGGGGGCGATATCGCCCACTCTGGGAATCACTGGTCTAAAATGTGTGATATATGAATATATATGAAAGCAAACCTAATACTGACAAAACGATATGATCTTTAAAGTACAACTTCAATACTAGTGACAGACGCTATAGTTAAACATATAATATTATAGACTCTTGGATTTTAATGGGTACTTGCGGAACCCTTGTACTGTACTTGCGGAACACCAGAGTACTGCGAAATTCCTGTGTTGAACATCGGACGTAGTTTAAGCTATGGTCAGTCCACTTTTCAACTCATCTTCACACTCTTAAAATCCATTTATTTCTGGATTCGTTTAGTGGTTATTTTTTCAGGATTCATTTCACTGGTTATTGAATACAACACTTGTCGGTTTGTTATGTTTTCACACAATCATTTGATGATGAAATATTCAAGGACAATTTATTTGGAGAGTTTTTATCAGTTTTGGTCTGCAGCATCTTGTTTACATCTTTATTTTGATGTAAGTAGTACTTTCGAAACCTACTTAAATGTATTTCTAGGTGTAGAAAATTATAAATATAATTCAATAAAATAGTACATACGAGCTATATGCTGAAGCAATTTAGTATTCAAGATGTGAATGTGGTTTTCATAAGCTTTTGTGATGAATTACATTGCAGAATGAGTATCTTTGATTGGAAAAAACTACAAATTATGTATGGTAATCATTCTAACGCCACACAAATTTGTACTTATCTAAATCCGTGATTTCAAAAACAGTGTTAATGATAACATTAATGATAAAGATAAAGTGCACTGCAATCATTGTGTGGCGAAATTCGAATTATTTTGTATCGATAACGTTAATTCCTTCCAATTTTTCATGCGCATGACAATATGGTCAATGAAGGCAGATGTTCTTAAATGTAGACCTACGAACTAAAATTGGAAAATGTAAAGATAAAAAATTGAAGCTACTGGGTCTTGGTTTTTGGAGGCGTCCAGCTTCGAAGTCACAAAAATATGGTAACCCCATGCTTTTGGCATGTCACTTTGATCGCCGTATGGACCAAAGTTTGATTTAAACAATGCACCAAAATCCCTATTCTATATGTTTTAGTACGATTGTTGTCAATAGTGATGTTTTCTACTTAAGTTAACTTACTGTATTACTCTTGAAACTTGTATGGTTTTATGATTGATTTTTTAATTCAGGTTGTCTCTGTCATTTTTGTTCTGTTCTCCATACAAACCAAATTTGACTTCACTAAATCAGGAATTCTCTATGTGTTATGCATAATTTTTTTTCGTTCGGATTCATTACCATTTTTGCCTACTGGCACTCTTGGGTGAGTAACTTGAGCTTTTATCTAATAATCTTACTTCTTTGATAATTAATATATATTTATAATAAAGTAACACACAAGTGTATGGAAATATTGTTTACGCTGTTCATTGACAATGCGCTTGCCATTCAGCAAAAAATTCTGAGAGTTTAGACTTTAGAGTGTTAGTTTTCTTGCAGTTAACATAAAATTATCAAAACATGTAAATTGAAAATACGTTGTTGTTTTAAAGATATCACAAACATGAAAATTCTTGATTGGGCCACGTAATAAAGAAGTGAGCTGGAGTTAACCTGCAAGATGAATACCTACAGCAATGATAACTATTTCAGTTTTAGGATTTGATTTGTCTTTATTGGGTCACCTGTTGCGTGGTCTAAAATCTATTCACTTTATTCTAAGAAAACTATACACGGTGACTTTGGATATGTATCCAAAACGGAAGACATTGCAAGACTGAGCAAAAAGGAAGAAGTTGGCAGGTGATTTTCTATGTCATGTTTTTTAGTTTACTCAGACCATGCGAAACATACAGGATAGGATTTTGATATACATCCTGAGATGGTCCTTCATTCAGTCAGCAATGCAGGTTGGGTAGAGAAAAAAAAACGAGTGAAACAGGCTTTCTATTGTTTTACCAGAGTTATGACACAAGTTGATCTGCGTTATTGATAAAGCAAATCAGACTAATTATTTATCAGTTTTAAGTTATCGCAAACAATGTAGATGCATCTAAATGTTTCTTTAGGATTTCTGTCTAATAGGCCGTCTGTATTTTCAGGGATTTGCCAATAACAGACAGACTAACTATCTTTCGTGTTCATCAGCAATGGAGAAAAAGTAAATGAGGCCAAATTTTAATCACAGCTTATCGCATATTAGAAGCATGATGCAAAGCTAATTTAGGATATTATTTAATCAGTAGAGAGTTTTATCATCTACCCATACCTCTGGGGCTCAGCAATATTGATTGTCATAAAGACAACATGTTGCCTCCACAATTTGTCGAGAAGAGATGTTGCTGGAGCAGCAGCAGTTAACAAAAACGTTGGAGTGGTTCTGCAACTGCAGCATTACGTACCTGGAAGTGGTGGCCGTGCAACACAGCGCATGTTGAGTTCACAACATCTTTGCCAGATTTTTTCGGAGGAAGTTTCTGTGCAAAGGCACTATTACTGACATTCACCCCGATTCTAGTCATTTTAATTCTCATTGCTGGGCTTGTTATTGGTCAGCATTTTCTTGCGAGTTCACTATTTTCAACTGAAAATTAGATGGAGTAATATCCACATCGAAGTCAAGTAGATGAGCAAAAAGTTGGACGCTGACACTGTGTATATGAAAATCCGAGCAAAAAGTTGGACGTTGACACTGTGTATATGAAAATCCGAGCAAAAAGTTGGACGTTGACACTGTGTATATGAAAATCCGAGCAAAAAGTTGGACGTTGACACTGTGTATATGAAAATCCGAGCAAAAAGTTGGTCGCTGACACTGTGTATATGAAAATCCGAGCAAAAAGTTGGACGTTGACACTGTGTTTTTGAAAATCTTAGAAAAGAGTTTTAAATACCTGTCAAGCAGTTAATGCTTTAGCTTCCCAATCATTCCAGCATATTTTCTGAGTTACTAGTAATATATTGACTTTGGAAAATTTCTCCTGTCCAGACAAGGAAAGTGTGCGATACTTCAGTCAATTACAATCGGAAAAGTTGTAGTTTGGCTTCAGATAACGAATTATGTTTGATTATCTTGTTTGGTAACTGATCTTGTCTCGAATCTTAACATTTAGTTTGGGAAGGTGATGTCTGGAGCAAAATCGCTCTGCACACTAAGCAATGACTTCGCCAGGTACTTTTGCGCACAAGATTTCCTGGTGAATAATGCAATGATGGCTCACAGAGACATTCACCCAGAGTTGGAGATATATCAGCCATTTTTCAGTGTTGGTATCGGCTGAATGTGGACCGATATATGCAGCTTTCGGATCTGATCAAGAATGTTTCAAAAGATAAGTTGGGATACGGATGTTGAAATATATTTTTGTGTGGACGGATCATGTATCTTACCTGTTTGACCATTATCGGGCAAATTATTTCAGCTAATTTGGCTGTTTTCGATACCAATATTTTATATCAATGGGTTATTTTATGAAGCCAGTTTCTCTATATTTTCACTTATTCATGAACAGCCTTGTGTGCTGTTTTTAATTTTGCTAAATGAAATTTTATATATTTTTTTGCATTGGATTGTTGTGAAAAATCGATCTGATCCAAGACCTCTTGCATTTAATCCCTAGTAGCTGGGTTTTTGTAATGTCAATGTTGTTTTACTAGGATAAAGAATCAAATGCTCTTTCCTTACAAATCGTTGTATACAGTAACTTAGTCACAGCCTAATTGTTTGTTAATATCGTTCACTTCGTTGATCGATGATCTTTCATCCATCTCCTATTGGATTGATTTAATATTTCCTAAAACTAATTTCTCCATCCTCTTGATGTGCTTTTTAAATTTCACTTCATTGCTTGTGAATGTTTCCTTACCTATTGCTAATGTTTTCTTCATTTTTATTATGTTGGATTTTCTCATCTTTCTTGGACTTCCTCATGACTCCAGCACCAGAAACCCCCTCAATATACTATATTTATTCTCTATATTAAAACTGACAAAGCAGTGCCACAGATGCCGGTACTTCAATGAGTGCCGCTGTGGATTTTGAATGCCGTTCCTATGGTTACGGTGCGGAGTTTTTATTTTTTATATGTATTCGGGTCTGTTTTCTGTTCTGCTGTCAATTTTTTTTTTCGTGATGTGATGTTTGAATTTTTTCTTCTTTATATATTATTACTGTGAGACCAAATGATGGGTGTTGCTGCTCGTTTTGTCGTTTGATCAGTTTTGGTTTCTCGCGCCATCTTTCAGCCTGAAACGCCATATTTTTCCTTTTCTTTATATTGTTCGCATAAAATGTATTTACTTTATGTTGATAGAATAAATACTGATTAACATTTGCAAACTATTTCAATCGTCTTGAAAATTTTTACCGTCGAATTCAAAACCTAGCGTTAATGGGATAGAAATGATGTATGGATCGGATTTATGTATCCCGGAGGAAAGGAAAGCCGATAAGACAGCTTAACCGTATGGCGAACCACGGCCTCTCGTCCGGTTACCATTCAATGTCGGGTGTGGGATTAGTTATTTCGTTTTCGGAAGCGTGGACTTGATCTTGTAGGGAGCCGTAATCGACCAGCTGTTGCATGAACCACCCTACGGCGGTCAGGAGTCCAGCAATCCTCTCGCACATATCGAACCTGCGAACCCACGCAGAGTAATCAGAGGTCGCCGCGCCGAGTGTGTAGACATTTTAAACAACAAAAATTGACTCAAAACAACGCATGAATCTTTGGGCCATGATAATAAATAACGTATTATTATTGGGTTCGCGGTATGTGTAGTAGTGGGATTAAAAAGTGTTTAGTTTCTAACTCACAAACAACAGGTTCCTTCATTTTCAAAAATGTATGCATGACACCACGTAAGCTGCATTAACATGGCATTCCTTATACATAACTATCGAAATACCAAATATAACGCAAGTCGTCAAATGCAATGGGATGACTAGTTTCGAAACCTTCTGAATTCCACCATTTCTGTAACGTTTCGTTTGACCAAGTTCCAGCTTCTTCAGTCAACCGTTTTTCAAATATGGAAAGGAAATTCTCATACATATAAAAATGGTTAGCATCTGTTGGGTTTGATTTCAATGTATGTAGTGGAATAAAGCTTGGGTCACTCCAAGAATAATAGGGAAGTTAAGTTCAAATATTCATTAATGATTATCCCACAGTTCTGTGAGTAAACATTAAAAAGCTTATTAAACGTTTTCACGCTGTCATCACAGAACTCCGACGACAGCGTTTGTGAAGTTCATGTTGGGGCCAAGGCTACAACATTGGAAAACTGTTGACCAAACATAAATACATTGAGATAAAGTGTTGAGCGTGTTATATACTATATCATGTTTAAATTAATTTATAAATCGTTAGTTTCATCCATCTCGTAAATTCATTCCCTGGGGAAGTGGTTCCAAGCTATGGGTCACTAAATATTCAATAAATCGCTAATTATACGACATAATTCATCCAAAATCAATAGGCTTCTCCGAGATATGATGAGTGCACATGCAAAATTTGGAGCAGATGTAACCTCGCTTTTGTGAGATATCGCGTAACATACAAAAGTGAATCAAACAGACAAATACCTATCAACATACTTACCGATCGAGATCGATACGTAACAAAATAAAAGAACTTAAGAAGATGATACACCCGCACATTTTTCTACCTATTTTATCTTCATGATCTGTTTTAAATTGGAATTATTTATGGAACAGCCTGCCATATTTTAACAGGGGACTGAACAAAACACTGTTGGAATATACAAAATAAGATTTTAAATTTATCCATATTCAGAAGCATTTTGCTTTTTCCAAGAGTAGCCTATCGCACGCTTCCTCACAAACTAGTACATTTTATCAAGCCTGTCTCTGTTTTGCCAAAGAGCTCAGCGTTCTGCAAATATTCCGAATAGTGCGATTTCTACATCGTGTTTTTTATACAGTGCCATGTGTTATCAAATGTTCTCATGGTTCCCTGTTTCTCCGGAGCATCGTCGGACGTTTTCAAAATAATTTTCAACTTTTGGGCCAATGATCACTGTCCACGGGAATGTGAAGGTAATATTTGACGCCAATCTACCGTTTGCTGTCTAAAATATTTAACTATCTTTGATGTTTTGTGATTTTTGTTCGAGTCTGGTCACAGGCTATCTTTATTATGTTAATTCATTTCAACATTTTGTTGGCGGTCCGCTAGCTCATTTTAGTTGATATGCCTGGGTAAAAAAGGTTGGGAACCACTGAATTGAACAGTTACGTACACCAACGTCACACCAACTCTCCAAACTTACAGTCTACATACAGGCACATTGTCCTCATAAAATTAGAATGTTCAGAATAGAATATATATAGAGAAAGAGAGAGATTTTTTGAACTTTTCTCGTTGTGGAGGCGCGAGTTATTTGTTAATAATATAACTTATTTTAGTTTGGCGGTATGCTTGATCTCGAAATAGTTTTTCTATGCCAATTACCAAAAGATGGTTTATTGAATAGTCTGTTGACCGAAGTGTTCGCCAACTACGAGATCTTTGATGTTCTGATTGATGCTTCTGATATGTCCTGTTATCCTGTATTTTAAATCTGTTTTTCTGATATATTGCATATCGCATTTTCGCAGGGTATTGGGTATATACGACATTTTCTGAATTACGATTTATTCTTTGATTAATGTTTAGTTGAACTTTAGTAGTGGTGCTAGTAGGCTACATGTTTTTATTTATTAGGAATGCTTAACACGTGGTGCATGATTTCCTGTTGCATTTGTTGAATCCTGATTCTACTTCTCTCCGTGTTTCTGGTTTCAATCTATCTCCAGTCTGTATTGTATTGATGGGCATTTCCTACAAGCATTTCGGGGGTTGCGACAAAAATTTTTCAGTCTTCAATTGTTGTGTAGTATATATATGCCGATAATATAACTGAAGGACTGGTTACAGAAACAAACAGAGAAGCAGACAACATCCACAAGGTATAAAATCTAAATGATCGAGACAAAAAGTAATCTGGTATACGTTCTTTAAATTGAAAATATGTTACAGTCCTATTTCCTGCATAAAGATCGAGTATATTTCAACATCGAATTGTCAACTTTTCTGTCATTTCTAATAATGCAACGATGTTATTTGAAAATACAGTATTGGTGGGTATTCAAAACAGTGCGGCTTTTGTCAAATGCCACGCTCAATAGAACTTGCACACGGTTTACAATATTAACACAGAATGCTATCAATGCCTTTATCCTAATACATGATTACGCCGACGAGTTCTCAGTATACGTCATCAGCGGATCCTTCTAAATATTGGTCAATTTCTGCAGAGTTGACATTTAAAAATTTGTGTTCACTTTATGTAAGTGGTAACACACGAAAAATTATACAGAATCTAACTCGCCTGAAAAATACTCCAGTGACAACTCATTTTTAAGACAGTTTGGAAATACATTACGCTGTGAAAGAATTATATTTGGTAACCCGAAGAACCAAAGTATGTGAACCAAGATGGCGGACACCGGAACGTAGTATGTGTACCAGATTAGGATTAGGTAATAATTTCAGGTACAAATACTACGAGAGTCACTTGGCTAGTCCCCAACTCGTAACAGAACCAAAATAAGAACAATTTGAATAAAATTATGTCCTAACCATATCCTAGTACACATACTACGTTCCGGTATCCGCCATTTTATTCACATAATTCGGGAGAACCTTATATCTATCTCATGTAATTTCAGATCCTCAGATTCAGATAATTCCTCAAGATATATATTAAGGTAATCTGATAAGCGTCGGTTAGTGACCTCGAGCAATCCTCCATAAAAAAATCCGTATACACCAGTGATTCTAATCTTTGAGTAATCGAAACCCACCGTTGAATCTTGGTTTGCAGTCAGAATCCAATAACGGAAAGGCTGAATTTGTGCGAAAGTATAATATTGTGTGAAAACAGCCAGTGTTAAGATGATAACAACGACGGTGGAATGGGTGGGGCAAATATAGAGTGTAAGTTGAACGGGTGAAAATGCGATAAACCCAACTAAATGGTGCTATAATGCTTCGAATATGTTGGTAAATCAAGTCGTTCGTTTCTCGAACTTCAATCTTCAATCAAAACCAAACACTCAGTGATATTCAAACACGCCCTGATTTTATGTTAATTTATGTACACTAACTTCCAGGCTTGGACTTTTTGGTTGTTATGAAAGATAACAGGATAACGATTCTAGGCTTTATTAAACATAAGAACACCACTGCCACAACTTAACACTGTAAACAATAGAATAACGCGCAAACAGTGAAGTATGCAGTACGACAGAGCTAGGGCAATCAAGAGTACATTGTTTATCTAATAATTACACTGTAAAGAAATATCAACACCACAATTTCCCCTTCCTAAAAGATTAGTTAACAAAAAGTTTAATAAACATTTCACTCATAGTAATGTAAACGATCAATTGGACGCTTTTCTCTGGTAGAACGCCTAGGAGCCGGGGTGTCTATCATCTTCATCGGGGATGTTTCGCGTTTTTCATCATCACCAGGAATATTTGACTTTTCTTCCCCTTCTTGAATTTCTGATTGGTTGATAACGGGATGCGATATTTTTGGTACATAGTCCGAATCTGCTGTATCAGCCTGCTTTACAGGTAATTGAGAAGGTTGATTATCGGGGGAACTTCCATTATTCTCACTTCTAAACGGTGTAACATCACCACACGGTGCAAGATGTTTTGTTGATACTGTTGAGGTTTTACCATCTGACTACCGAATATGAGCGTAATATCTGTTTGCATCCAGAAGTTCCACTTCATCGACGTATGGATCAGATTTGTTTCTTCTAATCTGTCTCTTGAGAAGAACAATTTTAGAAGTTGTCAGCCACGTTTGAACGGCATATCCTGTGGTAGATCTTCTTGCAAAATTGAACAACCGTTCATGTGGTGTTGCATTTGTTGCAGTGCACAATAGTGATCTGATGGAATGCAAAACATCTAATAGAACATCTTGCCAACATTCAATTGGCAAACCTTTTGACATTAAAGCAAGTTTTATTCATTTCCAAATTGTACCATTGCACCGTTCTACTTGACCATTCGCCGAAGGATTGTAAGGAGTTGTTCTACTGCGAGACGCACCCTTTTCTTGCAAAAATCTTTTAAACTCACAACTCATGAAAGCCGAACCACGATCAGTATGTATGTAAGCAGGCATTCCAAATACAGCGAACAATGGAGTTAAGACTTTTTATTACACTGGCGGCCGAAACATCAGGTGTTGGAATAGCGAAGGGAAATCGTGAAAACTCGTCAATTACGCAGAGAAAATATTTGTTGCTATTGTT